CAGGGGCCTGAACCTTCGCCGCTGCCTGCAGTCCGGCAGCCGCTCCTAGGACCCTGTCGTCAGCGCAGTCGCCAGGGTCGCAGCCGTCAGCAGCATCTCAGCTCGGAGTGGACAAGGTGAGCTCTGCCCAGGGCCCCACGCCGCGGTGGCCTCGTTTGATTGACAGCTGGGGAAGAAGCGGGGTGCGCGACTCGGGTGTGGCATTCGGGATGTGGGTCTCGCATTCAGCATCCCGCTTCCCGCAACCTTCACCCTTTACCCGGCTGGAGCTCCGGCTCTGCGACAGAGGGGGAGGGGAAGGCCAAGCCTCGCGGGAGGCTGGTGCGTGCTCGTGCCCGTGGGGTGAACACGCGTGTGCGCGCCCGCCGGGCATGGATAGGCTCGCGTGACCTCAGGACGCGCACCGTGCACAGCCGGCTGTGAAACCTTGTGCGTGAATGGTGCGCGTGCGCTGTGTTTGGAGATCCGAGTTCAAGTATGCGCTCACACGCGTGTGGTTTCATGCGCGGTGTGTCCTTGCCAATGGCTAGGTGGACACGAGCACACTGGCTGGTGTAGGGGAATCTGCGTCTGCAGTCGTGCATGGGTGCAGTGGGTTCGCAAACATCACGCATATTTGCTTGTTTCTCCTGCTAGCCTCTCTTTTGCACACAGGGCAGGAGTTTAGATCGGCCTGCCTTGGGTGCTTCATTGTGTGTGCATGCGCGCGAGGAATTTTGTGCATGTGAGCCGGTGTTCACCTGTGTCACGTGATGCTTCTAGCTCAGGGTGCAGGATGAGGGAGAATTGGGGATCCTCGTGTACTCATGCTCCTGCGTGGGTCTTTTTAGGGTAATGAAAGACTGATGATGGGAAGTGGGCCGCCTCAATTTCCCCTCAGGGGGCAGGGAGGTTTGGGGTGCCAGGTGAAGTTCCCCAACAAACCTCTCCGCCGATGCAATAACCCAAATCAGACCAAATCAAACCGAATTAGAAAAAGCTCAAGTTAAATGGATACCAGTGCTCCCGGGTGACCTTCCTTCCCCCAAGAGAGGAGACAGGGAAGGAAGTCCTGGGGTATGATTTAAATACCCTGTGGGGTCTTAAGCATCACTGGGAAGGGGTCTTCCAATGGCGGGCTTTCTTGGAGGTGGAGTCTGGAATGAGGCAACTCCCAGGGGAGGGGCCTTGGGATGGAACTTTCACCCAAAAGTTCCAGACTCTTTGGTATAAGGATGCCAGGGGCGGGGTGACACTTCCAACCAAACACCAGGGACCTGCAGGGGTGTTCGCTCCTCAGCCTCCTTGAAGCCTTGGGCCTGTCAAGGTCACAGCCTGGCCTATGCTGGGGGTCCTGGTGGACCGAGGCTGTTCCCCAGCTGGTGCCCTTGTGCAGAGCCCATCCTGTGCCTGTGTCCTGTGCGTGTGTCCGCTGCACGCCTCAGGCTCTCTGCGCCCCGCCCCCACAGATGGCATCAGCTACAGACTCGCGCTATGGACAGAAGGAGTCCTCCGACCAGAACTTCGACTATATGTTCAAGATCCTGATCATTGGAAACAGCAGCGTGGGCAAAACCTCCTTCCTTTTCCGCTATGCTGACGACTCCTTCACGCCAGCCTTCGTCAGCACAGTTGGCATAGACTTCAAGGTCAAAACCATCTACCGCAACGACAAGCGGATCAAACTGCAAATCTGGGTTCGTGGGGCCGTGGGGGAGAAGTCTTCCTGAGCCTGGCGTGTAAGCAGGCGGGGCTCAGACACCCGGGTGTTCCCAAGTCTTGTGCTGTGGACTGTGGTCGGGTGTGAGCAGGCAGTTGGGTAGCCCAGGATGACCCTGAACTCCTGCTACCACCGTCCCAGTCACAGGATGACAGGCTGCCTTCTCATCAAGGTTTAATTTTTTAACATTTTTGACTTTTTTTTTTTTTGAGACAGGCTAACCTCGAACTCAGAGACTCACCTCTGCCTCTGAAGTGCTGGGATTACAGGCACACACTTGGAACCCATCAAAGTTTTGATATAACATCTCATACCCCAGCACAGCAGACCTGGGCAGCAACTGGCTGAGGTCACTTTTTTGGTCATGGTCTTTTCCCTCACATTGTGCTGTCCACAAGAACATGGAGTTCCTTATTTTATTTTGGGGGGAGGTGCTGGAGACAGGGTTTCTCTGTGCAACAGCCCTGACTATCCTGGAACTTGCTCTGTAGACCAGGCTGGCCTTGAATTCAGAGACTGCCTGCCTCTGCCTCCTGAGTGCTAGGATTAAAGTCGTGCACCACCACTGCCTGGCATGACTTTCTTGTTTTCTTATTAGTCCTGTGAATCCCCACTTATGGATGGCATAGGGTGTGGCACAGGGCATTTGGGCAGCACTGGTCTGTGTTTGTTTAATGACTGAGTGATGTCGCACTGACCCCCCTGGGTACAAAGGCCGCCCAGCCCACTTTTTCTGCCCTCAGAGGGGAAGCTGTGAGGTCCCTTCTGACCACCATCTCCTCTTTCCCCAGGACACAGCAGGGCAGGAGCGGTACCGTACCATCACCACAGCCTATTACCGGGGTGCCATGGGTTTCATCCTAATGTATGACATCACCAATGAGGAATCCTTCAATGCAGTGCAGGACTGGTGAGCAGCTCACCCACTGATCCACGGTGGAACAGGGGGGCGGGGTACTCCTAGCTCAGCTGAGACAGTAGGGGATCCACGGTGGAACAGGGGGGCGGGGTACTCCTAGCTCAGCTGAGACAGTAGGGGATCCACGGTGGAACAGGGGGGCGGGGTACTCCTAGCTCAGCTGAGACAGTAGGACATCCACAGTGGCACAGGCGGGCGGAGTACTCCTGGAAGCTCAGCTGAGACAGTATGGGATCCACGGTGGAACAGGGGGGCGGGGTACTCCTAGCTCAGCTGAGACAGTAGGACATCCACGGTGGAACAGGCAGGCGGAGTACTCCTAGCTCAGCTGAGAGTACCTGCTTGGCTTGATTTCCACCCCAGAAATCAACCAAGGCCAGCAATCGGGTGGGACAAGCCCAAGCCACGTGGGCTGCTTCCAAGGGTGGGGTTGTTGAAGGAACACAGGTTGACCCTCAGGGAATGATGGCTCAGGTCCATGATCCCAGCTACTTGGGAAGCAGAGGACTTGTCGCTGGCTGAGCACCTGCCTAGCACACGCGAGACCCTGAATTCCATCTGCAACATCATAAACCTGCAGCATCTCTGAATTTGGTGTAGTAGGCATCCCAACGTTTGGGAGCCCAAGTAGTCCAGGACAACCTGGGCTCACGAGAAAAGCCTATCTCAGTTTCCAAGGGGCAGGGGACTCAGGGACCAGGGCTGGGTCCTCTGACTTCCTCCTCTGCCTCTGGCTGCCTCCTGCAGGTCGACTCAGATTAAAACTTACTCGTGGGACAACGCCCAGGTGCTGCTGGTGGGAAACAAGTGTGACATGGAGGACGAGCGTGTGGTGTCATCAGAACGTGGCCGGCAGCTTGCTGACCACCTAGGTGAGTACCCAGCAGGACTGCAGCCCTTATCAGGCTGGACTAGGGACCCTGACCCCAGACACCACACAGGTCAGGGCATGGGCCTGAAACCAGGTGGATCACACTTGTGAAAACTAGCCACTCTGCAGGTTTGGCAGTGCATCTCGATGGCCGTGGTATTTGCCACGAACTCAGTCATGGGCCAACATCTCCCACGCTCTCAGTCACGGGCTAGCATCTCCCACGCTCTCAGTCACGGGCCAGCGTCTCCCACGCACTCAAGCGCTCAGTCATGGGCTAGCGTCTCCCACGCTCTCAGTCACGGGCTAGCGTCTCCCACGCTCTCAGTCACGGGCCAGCGTCTCCCACGCTCTCAGTCATTGGCTAGCATCTCCCACGCGCTCAGTCACGGGCCAGCGTCTCCCACACACTCAGTCATAGGCTAGCTTCACGATGTCTATGCTTTTGGACTGGAAAGAGAAACCTGGGTGGAGGAGTGCATGCTGAGAGCCAAACCGTGCTTCCTGGGGCAGGCACAACATGCACACTGTGGAAGGGTGCTGCAGACTAGGGACATGCTCAGTTGTGACAATCGAGCATGATTGCCTCCTAGAGAAAATGTGTCTGTCACTGTGTGTGAGGCCTGAGGAATGGGACTCTGGAGGAAGGGGTGTCCTACCAGGGCGGGCCATCTCCTCTGGAGGAGACTCATCCTTGTGACCACCCTTGGGCCCTGGAGAGTGTGGCTGTGGTCTGTGGTCACTCCTTCATTCCCCCAACGCAGGGTTTGAGTTTTTTGAGGCCAGCGCCAAGGACAACATCAATGTCAAGCAGACCTTTGAACGTCTGGTGGATGTGATCTGTGAGAAGATGTCGGAGTCGCTGGACACTGCTGACCCCGCGGTCACAGGCGCTAAGCAGGGCCCGCAGCTCACTGACCAGCAGGCACCTCCTCACCAGGATTGCGCCTGCTGAGCCACCCCCACCAGGGGCAAGCCCCCACCCCACCACCCTATTTATTATCGTAGCTATTTATTTATTTATTGAGGGTGTCCCTGGACGCGCCCCTCACCCCTCCTGTACACATCCTCACCCTGCTCTGCTGTGGTGTGTTGTGGTCACTGCCCCCCTAAGACCCTCCTTTTTGGTTTTCTAAGCCACCGCATCCACAGTTGTCGGTTGTGAAGAGGGGACCAGATGTCACTCTGAAGCAGGCTGACGAGATAGCAAGGCCTGCCAGCCCCGAGGCTGGGGGATTGCCAAGTGGACCACTGGATTGACAGGCTGGCATCCTGCTTGTTACTTCTTTATCTTTGGGGAGACAGGATGTGGGGAAGGAAGGGAGGATCTATTCACCTTCACTGCTTTGGGATATCCCCAAACCTGTTCTGACGTCATGAGTGTCAAATGTGTCCCCCCACTTCCCTAGAAGTTATGAACACTACACACAGTTCAATAAAGTGAATGGACCTTGCTGAGTCTCTGCAGCCCCACCCCACCCCTCCCCAACCACTGGCAGCCAGCCTTGTGATTAAAGAGAATTTAATGAAATTTTCACAAGGCTGCCCAACCTTGCATTAAGTTTTCTGAGGCCAAACCAGATCCCATTCCAAGGCCATGGGGGCCGGCCCTTCTGTTTGTCACCTGGGGTCCAGGGAACCTCAGGGACTACTTGGGCCAGAGTTGAGCCAGGGTTGCAATTGCAGGTTGGCTGAGAACTTCTGGGTCCAACTGGAAAACCTGGCGATTGACAGCTGGTGCCGAAGGCTGGTCCATGTGGGATGGCTGCTGCAGGCTCAGCCTGGAGTGTGGATGTGGCCCAGGCTCTGACTTGCTCCAGAACCTTTTATGGGAGTGTGTCCATCGGCCTATTTCTCCTTGATGCTTCCTGCTCAGTCCGCACAGCCAGGAGTGGAAAGGGATTCTGGGGCCTGTGTACAACGGAGGGAGGGTCACAGCAGGCATAGGGCAGGGCCTGCACTCAGGTCTTCTCACCCAGGGGTTAAGCTCACCCAGTACTTCAGGTAGGACAGATACGTGTCCCAGCCCAGTGTCAGCCCGTTGATGTAGGTGACTCGGAAATGCGGCGGAATGAAGAGGAAGTTCACCAGCTGAGCAGCTGGCCAGACACACCAATCAGCCTGCGAGAAGGCAGGGGCTGCAGTGAGCAGGCTAGGAAGGTGGGTCTGCGAGGCCGCAGGGGGGTGGAGCTACGGTAAGGGCAGCATGGGCACGCCCACCTTGTAGAAGTCCCAGAATTTGGCCCGCAGCTCCTGGCAGCTCTCCTCCAGCGTCTGGCCCTCCAGGCTGCCAAGGCCTGGGAAGAAGACCAAGTGGTGAAAGTGAAGGTTGAGGTGGCTGCTAGGCAACGGAAGCGGCAGTGCTGGCTGTGGGAGTGACCCGGGCAGAGAAGCAAGGCTGGTCAGGGCAACTGTGAGGCTGGTGTCAGTCCAGTCTCCGCCCTCACCCTGCCCCTCCAGGGTTCATTCTCCACAGGTCGGCTGACTGCAGCTTTGCGTCCAAGCTGCTCCTAAGTCCCTCAGACCCCGACCTTGCCACCCCACCTCTCCCCACTGGTCCCCTAGCCCCTTTTCCTCACATGGGATCTGTCCCATCCCACACGATCCTGTTCCCATTCCAGGGACACTCTCCCAACAGGTGCCTACAAAGTGCAATATGGTTGGGAGGCCGAGGCGCCGGGGCTGCACAGTGAGGCCTTCACTGTCAGCTTGATTCGGCCTAGAATCAGACGAGAGTCTCCAGGGACGACCTGCATGGTGGCCTGTGCTATCTCTGTATAGACTTCAGTTAACTGATGTGGGAAAACATTGCCGAGGCAGAGGGTCCTGGACTGGAAAGAGAAGCTGAGCACAAGCGAGCGGGCATGCAATTCTCTCTCACCCTGGATGTGACCTAACTAGCACTGGGAGGCAGAGGTAGGCAGATCTCTGAGTTCGAGGCCAGCCTGATCTACAGAGTCGAGTTCCAGGACGGCCAAGGCCACATAGAGAAACCCTGTCTCGAAAAACCAAAATAAAAGATGAAAAATCAAGGAAAAAGAACAACCCCCATCAGCATTCCTCCAAGCACGAACCAGCCTCTACCCACCGCGGGCTCTAAGACCACAGTCCCCGCCGCTGCTTACCCAGGAAGTACCAGACGCCCAGTATGGGAGATGCCACCACCTGATCCACCAGGACCTTCTTCATCACGCTCGGGAGGCTTCGCAGGCCCGAGGCGGGGAGGAGGCGGTCCAACCACAGGTACCAGAAGTGCAGGAAGGGGCCCATGCTGCAGCCCACCGCGAACATGCTGGCTGGGGGCACAGAGAGTCAGGCGCACCCTCCTGGCTGCCGCCCGGCCCCCAAAGGGAGGACAGGCCCCGCTCACCTGAGCGCCGCGCGCTGAACCGCTGTCCCGGCCGCGCGCGCACCTCCCAGGCCTGCCGCGCGCCGTCGCCCGCGGCCATGAGCGTGCCGCAGCCCAGCGTGTTGGTGACGAGCAGCGCGCGGCCCCGGAACAGCGGCCGCCCCGCAGCCAGCGCCCTCCGAGCCCAGCGCCAGCCGCCGGAAGCCATCTCCGCGCTCACGACCGAGCCTCCGCCGCCGCCAAGGGAGCCTCCGCGGCTCGCGCCCCGGCCCCGCCCCCTGCGCGCGCCAATCACACGCTTCGACGCCGACCCCGCTGCCCAATCGAATGTCGTGCCGCAGAACCGCCCTGCTCCACACGGACCAATAAGAAGCCGGAATTCCCGCCTCTCGGCTGCATTAACCATTCGCCAACAAGCTTCGCGCCGCGTCACCGCGGGGAACACGGAAGTCCTCCGCAGCGCACAGCCGACTAGCGGACGTCCGCTGGCCAATGGCAGCGTACCTGGACCGAACTGACCAATTGTGTGTCCTGCGCTTCCGGCTGGGCAGGGGCGGGGACGGCGGAGCTCCTCGTCCTCAAAGCCTCCTCGGGGCTGGCTGGGCCACTTAGGAGCTTGACCTTGGCGTGACCTCTGCAGTCCGGGACACTGGCCTTGAAGAACGCGGCGCCCGGGCACAGAGCATGGACACCGGTCTAACCCCAGCTGTTGCAAACCTGTTGCCACGTAGCCCAGGCTGGCCTTGAACTACTGCCCCCACGGCCGTGCCCTGTGCCTGGGTTTTGAAGACTGAGCAGTTCATTCAGCAGAAGACTAATCATGTATGCTCTTCTCCACAACTTTGTGTCCCTGCGGAAACATCCTTTCCTCCTTTATTCTTTGCTTTTAATTGTTCCACAAACCATCATGCTGTTCTCTAGCTCCCGATTATCCCTAACCCTGGAACCGTGAACACATTTTCCCCTGGATGAAGTCTCTGCTCCATCCTGGGACTTGTAGTCCCTTTGTGAAAGGCTAGAGACGAATCCATGAATTGTGTTCTGGCTAAGGATTGCCTACTCAGCCGTCAAAACCCCATTCTAACTTAAAAAGACGATAACCCAACACGTGGCCTCCCGGTGCTCATCCTTCCCCTGGTCCTGGTTCTGTATTTCCCGGCAGGGGACTGCCAGCAACTGGTCCCTGTCCATCCAAGGAAGGTGTGACGTCAATACTGTCAATCAAACAGTATCTAGAGTCACCTTGGTGACAAACTTAGAGCCTGAGAGATGGTCTAGTGGTTCTCAACCTTCCTAACGACCGTTTAATCCAGTTCATGTTGTGGTGACCCCCAACCATAAAATTATTTTGTTACTGCGTCATAACTGTAATTTTGCTACTGTCGTGAATCATCATGGAAATATCTGATGTCACGACCCACAGGCTGAGAAGAATCACTGGGCTAGCCTGGGAATTGAGGTGAAATAATACCCTCCGAGTGTGGGTGCATCAGCCCCACCCACTTCCCAGCTTTGGATGCAGTGTGACTTCAAACTCCTGCCTCTACCCTGCCTCCCCCAGCACAGGCCCTTCCTTAAGTGGCTTTTGTATTTTTTTACACACACAATGAAACAGTAACTCATATGGACTGGCATTTGCGGGCTTTTCAGATGAGGCATGAACTCCAGGGTCCAGGGCACGGCTCAGGCATAGACAGTGTGCTGAGCATCCCCAGAGCCCTGACTTACACACCCACATTAAAAACAGAAACACAAAGTGGCACTGGTGGTGCACACCTTTAATTCCAGCACTCAGGAGGCAGAGGCAGGAGGATCTCTGAGCGTTCGAGGCCAGCCTGGTCTACAGAGTGAGTTCCAGAACTAGAGAACCCTTGCTGGGTTCACTGGGGTCCCACAAAGATGGAGGCTAGACCACCAAAGTCTATCAAACCAGAAACAAACTTTATTCCAGGGAAAAAATTAAAAATTAAAGAAATAAATCTCCATGGGGCACAAAAGCTCATCAGGTAGCTGAGAGCACAGCCAGAGATGTGCATTTCCGACTTCCCTTTTCACAGCAAAAAACAAGTATCAGGCATGAACAAAAGAAGTTTTACAATTCCAAGGTAAAACTCAGATACAAATTGTGCTTTTTTACGTTTCCATTAACAGTTTTTTTAGTTACACTAGTGTTTGTATTTAAGATGTTCTTCCCCTGCTCTCCTGATGGTGTTTACCAAAGCTCTGCTTTCCCGATACTGCCAGTTTTCTGTAGCAGGGAAGGGTGTGGGACAATGCACAACCAAAAAACCTAAAGTCACGTACATCCCATCACTTAAAGATTAAGTCAGCTCACATCAATTGCTGGTGGGAGGGATAGGGTATCTAAAAGCTGACCCTCAGTTTGCAGAGGGCTGCTTCAGCCTTGCAGACAGAGCTATGGGCTGTAAAGCAAAGTAGCCCACTGCTAATAGTTAATCCTTAAGCTTCTGAGAAAGCTGCTGACAGCCTGCGCTTGTTCTCCTAGCCTAGGCTCACAACCTTATTTCTTTATTTCTACATTCTTATTTCTGGAATCTACATTTCTATATTTTTATTTTTGGACTCTTCACCCTGTCTCAAAAAACAAACAAGCAAACAAAAAACAAATGAAAACTCCAGGACAAATGAATCAATCTAAATTATTTATTCATTGAATTTAAATTTAGCACCATTTGGAAACAAGGCAAGATTCTTGAATACGTGGAGAGTTTCGAGGCTGTTTGGTGGGATATGTCTAAGTTTTCTCATGGGTGAGTGAGTGGTATCTCTGAGGGCTGAGGATTTGAGAAGGCTGTGCAGCTGGGCTCTTGTTTTTCTTTCCACAATGACCTTCATTTGTAGCAAACCTTCCTGGGGGGGTCAGCCATGGAGGAGCAGACATCTGGCTTCTCTGCTCCCTAGAAGGGGGATGAAAGGCTAGGAGTCAGGTTTGGGGAGACTCCACCCGCCTCCAGGGTAACTCCATCCCCTCTCTAGAGAGATTCCACCCCCTCTCTGGGGAGACTCCCCCATGGGGAGACTCCACCCCAAACCCGAGAAGACTCCACCTCCTCCAGGGAAACTCCACACCCTCTCTGGAAAGACTCTGTTCCCCCAGTTGAACCCCACTGATTTGTGACATGCTCACCTGGTACAACTGACAGACAGAGCTCAGGAGCTGACTGGGGTCCTTCAAAGGTTTCTGCAAGCCCCAGAAGACATGGGTAAGCACAGGGATACATAAGCCTGGGAATGCAGCACTAGAGCGCTGAGGCAGGAGGATCACTGATAGTTCCAGGACAAGCTCAGTTGTGCTTAACGAGGCAAGGTAGCTGGTATCAGGCATAAAAACTCTTGTGTGAGCAGAGGCCAGAGCTCAATGTTTTCTTTTTCAGATTTATTCATCTATTTCCTGTGCCCCTGTGTTTTGCCAGCATGTCTGTACATCATGCTTGTGCTATATCCATGGAGGCCATAGGCCTTAAGAGGGCGTTAGATCCACTGGAACTGGAGTTACAAATTTGGTTTCTGGGAATAAAACCAGGATCCTCTGCAAGAACAGCCAGTGCTCTTAACCACTGAACCGTCTCTCTAGCCCCTCATGAAGTGTCTTCCAGTCACACTCCATCTTGGTTTTTTAAAAAACATCTCACTTGAGCTGGGCGGCAGCGCATGCCTTTAATCCCAGCACTTGGGAGGCAGAGGCAGGCAGATCTCTGTGAGTTTGAGACCAGCCTGGTCTACAGAGTGAGTTCCAGGACAGCCAGAGCTACAGAGAAACCCTGTCTAGAAAAAACAAAAACAACAACAACAACAACAAAACCTCACTTGTTTTCAATGAGGATGTCTGTATATGTGAGTGATGATGATGGCGGGAACCGCATTCAGTTCCTCTGGAAGAGCGGAAGCCCCAGGGATCCCAGAGCCTCAGTCCCACAGGACACTACTGTCTGCGCAGCGGAGGCTCTTACCTCATTGACCAGGACCCAGGGCACATACTCATGGGGCGGCTGCAGGGCCTCGGTGAGCTGGGCATTGGCGTGCATGAGCTGCGTGCCGCGCTCCCCGGTGGCACACTCCATGATGCTGTCTGCTGACACCTCTGGAGCATACACCTGCAGGCACTGTTGGGGGGAGTAGGCTTTGCTCAGTTACCCCTGTTATCTCGCCAACAGTCACGAGTGGCCCCAAACAAGTTGCTTCCTCACTGCTCAGAGACGGTTGCTCCAGCTTCGGCAGGCATGGGTGGGGTTCCTGAGACTGAGGCCCTGGTGCTGTTCCCGCCCCCAGGACACCTGCTCCACAGCCTCTGCCCTCTGGTGTCCCATTACCTCGGAGTCTTTGCACATGCTGTTCCTTCTGTTGGGACACCCTTCCTACTCCTTCCCAGTATCTCACCCTCCAGTCCTTCCAAGTGAGCAGGGCTCCAGGCTCCAGGAGGCTGGGATGTCTGGGGGCCATTGGTCCTGAATCACTCTTTTGGGGGTTATTTCTCCTATAATGCCCTGGGATGTTGGAGCGCCTGGCTTATCTCCTGTCATGATCACTGCTTCTGTACAGTGAAGGTCCCGGGTTCTGTTCACAGTGAAGATTCTGTTCACAGACCTAAGGTTTTTCCTTTCAGAGCTGGAAGCTCCCCGGACCAGGTGGAGGCCCTGTGACTCGCCGCCTCCCGCCCCACCCCCCTACAGCCCCCAGCAGCCCTCGCTGCTCTCTTTCTCCCCTCTTGTTGCTTGCCTCTCCCCCTACAGCTCACCGGCTCAAGTTTCTTCTCCATGTCCTCCATTTCCTCCACACAGACGATGGTTAGCAACGCAGCCTCCTTTTCCAGTTTATCCAGCAGGCAGGCCTGGAGAGGTGGGCAAGGGTGGTTGGTGCAATGTGGCCACTTCCCCAAACACATACCCGTTCCCCGCCGCATGAGCTGCAGCTCACCTCCACCTTGTTCAGCCTGCACTCCAGCTCCCCGTGCTGACACGTGAATTCCCACGTGCCGCTGACATTTCTTTCCTGCAAGGCACCGACCGATCTTGGTGAGCTCAGGTGCTCAGGCGTCTTCATCCCCCGGCACCCCTCTCGCCTTTGTTTCCCCGCTTCCCATGCACCTGCGCGTTCCCATAGGGCACCAGGGTGATGTTGATGATTTCCATAACCATCAACCAGGTCGGGAACAGATCTCGGACCAGGAAGTACCGACAAGCTCCGCACAGGGACTCATAATAGAGGCTGACATTGACAGGCGGTGCAGGGGGCAATGGGCGTGGCCCGAGCAAGCACAGATCTTGGGCCTGGAAGGAGAGAGGCGTCCAGTGAGGTGCGGCCCCGGGGCCCCCTCGCCTGAGACGCTTATGATTTGTTAAGCCTGTGACACTGGGGACCAGACCCAGGGCTGTTTTATGCATGCAAGGCGTGCGGTCTACAGCTGGGCCACGCCCCGGACCTTCTGAGTCTTGCTGGAGTCTACATGGCATTCCGCAATCACAGCTTATCTGCAAAACGGAAACTAGCAAACTCGCAAACTCTCAAACAGTAGGCGCTCAGTAAATGCACCATCCTGACTACATTCGGTAAGCTCTAAGACTTGCATATTTGTAGCTGCGCATGGTGTTGCATACCTTCAGTCAAAGCACTAGGGAGGCAGAGGCAGGCGTTCTAGACCAGCCTGGTCTACATAATGTGTTCCAGGATGGCCAGGCTACACTGGCCCTCCAAAAAGCAAAAACAAAAATAAATCAGAACAACATAAGAAAAAAGAAAGTAAAGGAAAAATAAGACATGCATATTTGTAGTTTTTGCTCTCAGTACTGTTTGGTGGCATACACTCTGAAGCCAAAGCGGCGCTCTCTCTCTCTCCTCTCTCTCTCTCTCTCTCTCTCTCTCTCTCTCTCTCTCTGGAGCTTTTCACCCACGCAGACTCTATTCATTCTTCCTCTCCTGTGACCCAGGGAAACTTCACCCTGTCCTCCCGACTAGACACAGGAGGGAGTTAATGCGAGCAGACTTCCTGTTCCCGGGGAGGGCAGGAGGCGAGTCCGACTCTGAGCAAGGCACTGGGCGTGAGGGGCATGTGTTTGTTCCGTGTCAGAAGCACGCCAGCCCTCCCTTCCTCGGTTGGAACGCACACAGTAAGGGACAAGAATTGCGTGAGGGTGGAGGACGGACCAGTGGTTCAACAGGTCTGGAGCAGAAGCCACCCCCCACGCCCGCCTACTCAGCTCTTGGCTCAGATGTATACTATACGTGGTTGATAAGTGCTTGGAAGAGGCGGGAAGGTGATTGCTGCGTGTCTCAGACCTGCGATGTGGAAGCAAAACGACTTGGGCACGGCCAATCCCCAGATGAGAGGTTGGGGGGATGTCCCTGGGCGCGACCTTGGAGTTCCCCGAATGAGTTCACGGAGTGCCGAGAAGTTGCCTGGCCTGCGTGGACGCCTAACCCTGTCCCCTCCTGCGCGTCGCGGTCCCTACCTTACAGGTGGCCGCAACTTCGGAGGACCCTTGCCGCGGAGATGCCCTGGCTGCTTTGGGGATCTCAAGCGGAAGCAGCAGCAGCAGCAGAAGGGGCAGCAATGGCAGGAGCAGAGACCGAGGCATGGCCATGGACGAAAAGGCAGAGAGGACTGCTGGCTGGGCCTTGGAGGCGGGAGACTTTAAGCAAGCAGAGGCCCCGCCCCTGAGACCACACCCCCAGGCTCCTTTTACTCCAGGGCCTCCTTTCCTGCAGGCTCCACCCCAGCCCAGAGTTGCGCCCCAAATCACCAGGCCACTCGGCCCTGTCCAGCGTTCCCTCCTCCCGCAGCCAGAAGGTACTGTCACGTCACATGAGGCTTTGGAGCAGGGACAGAAGGGGGAGTCTCCAGACACTGACCGGCTGAGACAGGAGGCAGAGTCCTCGCTTCCCACCATCTAGTTGTGCGGAGGTGGGGGGAGTGACACCCTCATCACTAATTCCTGCCCCCACCACCCCAGGCCGGCGCAAATCAGCCCCAGCACATCCTCCTACCTCCGCTGACTCCGGCTAGACCTCAGCATAGAAGCCAGCTCAGGCAGAGCAACTTCCCATCTCTAAGGTCCCGGGCTCCGGCTTGGGGTGGGGGACACAAGTGGGGTACTTTCTTCCAGCAACTGTGTGGGCAAAGCCCCCTGGCACTGGAGCGCCTCACGGGGAGGGAGGTGCGGATGCGCCTGGATGCCGCCTCTTTCCATCAGCTGCAGTTCCCATTCTGTAAAATGGGTCATGAGTGACAGACACATGGCTGACGGCAGAGCCCCCAGGAAGGGCTGAGGTAACTTAGGTTGGGACTGGAACCTCTGCACCAAGTCAAGATGAAAACTGGACACGGGGGACTCTGGAGCAGTGACAGGCCACAGAACACAGCAGCAGGAAATATTCCAGGCCAGGTAGTAACTGAAGCTCCAGGCTGAGGCCGAGGACTCAGGACAGGGTCTGCTCCAGTTCTGGAGAGACCGTAGTTTTCTGTGCAGAAGGCAGCAGGCTGCTGAGACCTGAGTTCCACAGCTGAACTGCTACATGCTGAGGGAACCTGCTCTAACCAAGACTGGGCCTTCCAGAACCTCACATTGTTCGGGCATAGACTCCATCCCAAACGTACGCCCAGCCCCTCACTGGGGATTCTAGGCAGAGGCTCCACCCCTGAGCCAAGCCCCTACCACAGTAACATTTGTTTCCTATTAATGTAAGCTTGTGAGTCTCCTGCCTCAGCTTCCCTGGATCTGGCCTCACAAGGTGGAGTTCTCCTTAAAATGCCTAAGATGTTGTCTGGACAATATCTGGAATTATGAGATAAAGGAACCCACAGAGGACTGGGTCAGAGACAGGTTCTGTCCATTCATTTGTCCTAGCTGAGCCCAAAGATGCTCCTGGACAGTCTGGGGCAGGTTGTGCGGTGGGGGGTGGGAGTGGGAGCACTCAGCAAAGTACTCCTGGGCTTAGTCTCAATGCGTTCTGCCCCAGGCAGGGCTATTAGGGTTCTATTTTTTGCTAATGACGACAGGCAGGCCCTAGGGACTTGTTCAACAGGCGTACAGAGGTCCAGAGCATGGCCTCACCTCATCACTCAGGGATGAGGGACATGAGACACCCTTGCGGATGGCCCGAGAGGTTGACACCTCTCTTCCCGACAAGGAAGTCGTGGATTGTGTGGGTGTGACTGGCACGGCACAGCCAGCTTCTGCTTGCTTGAGCACTGTCAGAGCTCTGGGTGAGGCCTGCAGCCTGGATCAGGGGCTTTGAGATGCTGTGCTGTGTGACCCTGGACGAGGCCTTGACCTCTCTGGTGTTGAGGGTTGGGATGGAGAAAAGGGCGCACTGAGTTTAGTGTCTGGGAATCAGAATGGTAGGTGCGAACAGCGTGAGCCCAGGCAGGCCACAGTCTGTGGCTCAAGACATGAGTCGAGAATTCCAGTCTCCAAAGACACTCAGCCAACATGTACAATGTTTCATATTCGTATCAATAAACGTACCGTACAAAACCCGTTCCCCGTCAGCCCTGGGCAGGTATGGGGTCCAAGGGCAGTGACACCCAGGGTCCTTGTCTCAAAGAGGAGGAGATTGCACAGTTGGAGAACAGCGCAGGGGGCCTGGGCAGGGCCGGGCAGTTGAGTTCTAATTCTGCCTTCTGGAAGGGGAACTTTGCAGCTGTGGGGTAATCCCCTGCCGCTGGTTTCACTTCGACCTTTAGAGGGGAAGTTGGGGTCTGGGGCGGGTCCCGCCCGGCCCCGAGTGTCCAGGCTAAATTCCTGGAAACAGCCCAGCGCAGTTCCTTCCTGCCCTGGCCCTGGGGCTATGGCTTGAAAATCTCGGGGCACCCAGGTGGAGGCCCCGCAGCCTCTGTAAACACGGCAGTGCGGCTGAGAGGACAGGGCGAAGACAGGGCAGGCGAGTGGAGTGGGGGTTTCTCAGCGGGCCGTGGGCGGGCCAGGCCCGGGTGCGCGCACCGGGTGCGCAAGGGTGACGGTGAGTGCGTCGTTGTGCTGCACAAGCGATGCGTGCTGGTAGTGCAGCACCAGCTCCTTCAGGGACGCGTACAGGTTGTAGGGTTCCGCGAAGCCGAAGCCTGTGGCCGTGCGGTAGATGACGCAGTGCTTGGTATCGCCGTCCACCCTGCGGGCCCAGACAGCAGCTTAGAGGGGAGGTTATGCTGGCTCTCCAGCCCCATCTGCCTCCACCCCCTCCTGGCTGGGTAGGCAGGACCTGGAGCACACTGGTGCTCAATGCACTCTCAGGGAACACCCCACCCGGACCCCAGCCAGACACTCACACCACGGAGCATGCGTAACAGCCGCGCTGGCTACTCTCCCGGATGAGGAAGGTCCCGTCCCTTTTGCCACTCAGCATCTCCTCTGCCTGTGTGCGGTTGATCTTGCCCACGTACCACGTGCGCTCCTCGTGGTGGGGGAGGGTATCCTCATCCTCCATCAGTGAATACTGGCTGTGGGGTGAAGCAGGGAAGGGGCCCTGGTCATTCACCCACCACTGCCCAGCACACACGCCCTCCCCTTGATGAAGTCCTCCTTGCCCCTTACGGGGCATCACTCACTCCTCAGTCTCGTTCTTGATTCCCAGCCACTCGTTGATCTTCCTCTGTCGGGCACCTTTCTGGGTGAGCCACCTGAAAGGGAAGAGGTAGGTGAGCGTGTGGGAAGGGAAACTGAGGTGAGCTTGTGGATTCTCACTGCAGTACCTCTGGCTGCCGTAGGGGGCGTCAGGAACCCGTGGCTTCCCAAGCACAGGAGGGGAGGGGACAGCAATGGTGGGCACAGGGCAGCGCTTGCAGGAGTGGGAGCGCGGTGCCACTCACACAAGGTACTGGTCCCGGATCTTGCGTAGCTGCATGAGATCGGGTTTGAGGCTGTTCATGCGCTTGTCGATCTCTCGGTTGTCCGAGGCCTGCGCTCGCAGGTCCTGTTCCAGCTTCGTGCGACTCTCATGGATCTCCGCAATGCGAGACTTGAGTCGCTCTGAGTTCAGCAAGATCCTGAGGGGAGGGGCGTGGCAAACTCCTACACTTCCTCCAAAGCCCATTTCCACACATCACCAACCTCCTTCATCGACCCTCCTCTCCCCCTGCACCGTGTCCCCGGAGTGGGCAGACCCACGCACCTCTGCATCTCCTTCTCATTGCCCTCTCGCCGGAAGCGCTCCAAATACTCCTTGCTGCACTTTTCCTGCGTCTGGCCCTGTTCTTCGAAGATCTTGATGGTCTCATTGAAGGCCTCTATGGCTGTGCGCTTCATCTGAAGCTCCTGCGGATAGGGTCGGCCTCAGTAATCCCAGAACTCCCTGGAAGGCCCTCAGTAGTAGTGGAGGAGGATTTTGCTCCAACTGTCTCTTCCACAGCGAGAACAGTATCCTAGTGCTGGCCACCTAATCAACTCCTTCCTACTCAGCCTCCACACTCTTCTCCAAACCCATCCTCCATGTCCTTTTCTGATAACTCTGAGCACCACTGGGATGGAATGGCGTCCAGCATGGGGCAGCAACGGAGCACCCCGGTCCCCCGTGTGCAGAGCCAGGTACCTGGGAAGTTCGTGTGTATTCCTCGTACAGCTGGTCATACTCGCGGCTCTTGTCCTGGTACTGCTGGTGGTAGACTTTGAGCTGAGCGCCCACGGCCTCCACGCTGTCCTCCTTCACCACCTGGTCCTGCTGGTACTTGGACACAGGGTAGAGCAGGCGCGTGTCCAGCTTGGCGTTATACTGGGCCAGCGACTCGTGGCGGTAGTGAGAGATGAGCTCTACCACGGAGCAGAAGGTGAGGGGCTCCGAGAAGCCGTAGTGACCATCCCGGTGGAAGACTTTGATCAGTTTGTTGTTCCCGCCTTTCCTGCATGCGGGGGTATGGTCAGCATCATAGGAGGCCCCAAACCCCTGGGTCCCCACTGCCTGGGCCCCGGCCCCACCTGAGGGTGAGCGTGTACTCTCCTTGGATCTTGCTGGATGCATCCCGGACCAAGAAGGTGCCATCAGGTGTGTCCCGGAGCCTCTCATTCACCTCTTCCCTGAGGGGGACATGGGCATGGAGCCACTGACCCATACTGTCCACCCCCCTCTTCCACCACCGCAGAAAAACTACCTGGAGATGTCTCCCCAGTACCACTCCGCATCCTGAAGAGACAGTGGGTTTCCTCCATTGGCCAGGGCTGTGGGGGCCGGCTTGGCCTTAGAGGGCTTGGGTGGCAGTGCTGGGGACAGGGAGACATGCATGCATTACACACCAAGTACACATGGAATCGGGAACAGAGGTGGGGGTGAGAGCACTGTCACCTGGGGGGGCAGCATCCTGCTCGTCCACGTGTTCCTGCAGCAGCTTCCCCAACAGCAGCCCTGGGAAGTCAGGCCCAAGCTCACTCCTAGGGGACAAGTGGGGCATCAAGGCCTAGAGTTACAGCTGTGCCACACGCTCCCGTGTGTGCACAATCGTGGGATGGCAGATGCAGTACCCCCACTCTAGTCCCCAGGTGCTGCAGCCGACTGTCCCCACAAAGGGGTTCTTCTTGGCCCCGCCCACCCAGCTGTTGTCACACCCACAGCTCTGACCACTCCCACCAAGCCCACTCACCCATCAATGTCACTCCCTGGCGGAGGTGTGCGCAGTAACAGTGGCCCAAAGG